CTTCCATGGAGTCCTCTATTCCTTCTAATATCTCTTTCTAACCTTCTCTATCCACGGTATCCTCTCATCATTCATTGGTAACACCACATTCTAACCTTTTCTTTTCCGCCGCATTGTCCATGTTCGCACCCGTAAAGTGCCGTGCTATAAACATGCACCTTTAACAACCTTTTTCGAATTTCTAAATTAACCGTTCGTGAGCATAGAAGTGACTTGTTTTTATTAAAGGCGACACGACTCTGCGCTATCCTCTGCTTTATATCCCTACTACTCCTTCCGTTCTGACTTATCTGACTTCCTAGATACCTTAAATCAGCCAATACTAATTTTTTGTCTCCTATCTTTATATTCGCTGTTTCCCTATTTTTTCTTCCCTTGCATACCAGTATATATTTGTTCTAGTTTTATTTATTTTCATACAGTACTGTTTTGTCAGTACCGCATCCATTTTATTTGAAGCTATCTCTCCTAAGTCTTCGTTGCTAGATGCTAATACTGCTATATCATCTGCAAATCTAAACATACTAATCTTCTGCGCCTATATATCTATCCCTGCAGTTGTACTGTCTTCGATGGACAGATTAAAAAGCAGCGGTGATAGTGTGCATCCCTGTCTGACTCCCTTCCTAATATTTACTTCTCTTCATTGTAGCTCCAGCTCTATAGCTGCCTGTTGCCCTTTATAGAAATTAAGTATCACTCTTCTATCTTTGTAACTCATCCCTATATTTTTAAGTATATTTAACATCTTGTCTCATTTAACATTGTCAAAAGCTTTTTCTAAATCTACGAATCCTATGTACGCACTCTTTCCTTTTTCTATCGTTTTCTCTATTGTTATCCGTAAAGCTAGAATGGCTTCCCGCGTTCCACTAATTCTTCTAAGCCCAAATTGATCTGCCTTTTTTCCATTCTCCTCTGTGCAATTCTGGTTAATTAATTCGTCATTAATGAATTACGTTTTGAGAAACCTTCAGAATTATTATGTTCTCATTAATCATTAAGTTTACGGTCACTAGGTTTTCTTTCGTCTATCAGAGTGTAGATAAATGTACCGTTGATTTGAAGTGTTGTAAATGTAATCGGAAATAATTTTAGAGGCGTACAGTTCCTTAAGCTAGATCGTTAAGAAACTGAGCCATGCTTGATATCTAGCAGCAGACGTCAAATCGTCACCCAGTTCAAATTACCCTCATTATCTACGTTTGCTGCGCCTGTTGGGAATTGATGTCGTCATAATGGTTAGATGGAGCTGATAACATTTGCTTTCGATGAGGAATGAGGTCAAGGAAAGAAGCAATAAGAACAACGGTCGCGACTGGGTTGAGATGGCTTGGGGTTGTGTGCGTTAAACATAGGACGATAATGTCGATGGCTTTAAGATAAAATTAATCGAAGGGCGTTTATTTCACTTAAGACGTGTATCTGACATAAAGGAAACAAATTACCAAATCATGACAAAGATTTTTTTTTCCTTCAACGATAAAAATGACGATAAAATTACGTTCGGGCGTATTATTTTGTTAGAAAGTTAACTATAATAGTCTTGGACCCATCAATCCTAGCACTGACGAAAACTGCCATGTAAAAATAGACTTCAGATTCTGGGCATCGATTGGAACTGCATGAGAAAGCCAATCAATTGATGACAACTTTAGACTCTTAAGCAGTAGACTAAACTTACTTTGAAATGTCAACTTGGTAGTAGTGTTTAAATGGGTGGGTGGTATTTGTTTAACTATCATAGAGTATAAGAACAAAGGCTTTTACTGCCGGAATCCATTGTAGAATGAAGATTAGGGCTATAGGGCCGTGGTCTAAGTGAACTATTCTGTCCAGACGTTTCGTCAGCTACTGCGGCTGACATCCTCAGTGGTAGTGCTGCGTTGACAATATGAACGTAGATTATGTCTCGCCAGCCACTGGAAGATAATCTACGTTCACGTTGTCAACGCAGCACTACCACTGGGGATGTCAGCCGCAGTAGCTGACGAAACGTCTAGACAGAATAGTTCACTTATACCACGGCCCTATAGCCCGAATCTTCATTCTACTATCATAGAGTAACTTCAAACGTTGTTAAATTAGAAAAATTGCTTTCTTGCACATGCATAAAATATTTACATTTGTGTAGGTAGATTAAATTTCGCGAGAGACCAAAAGACAGCACGTGATTGTTAACTGGAGGATTGCAGCGATTGAGGGGATTGTGAATGATATAAAAGTAAATTACCATGAGATGCAGAACCGTTTGCACTTTTTCAAAATTTTTCGCATTTTCTTCGAATCCCGTGGGCAAACGCTAAATCCAATACCAATTTATAATTGTACTAGTTCGTGTCATGTAATACGCCTTCTTAATCACTTCCATCCACCTAATTCCACGATTCCTAAAGGTAGCCGAAAAGGGGGTAGCATTGATGAGACCACTCGTCCGCCAATATCAACTAGCCAAACTATGTTATTGAGTGTTAATAAGCATTTATTTGATACAGTTCAAAATGGGTTATTTGAGCATCTTTTAATTCTAGGTGATCCTAAATCCATACCGACGTTGTGAATGATTTGCATTATTCTTCCTACAAAATTTACTCATAAAATCCGAAAATGCAAAAAAACTGTGGTAATCAGCAAGAATATTTCAATTACAATTGCTTCAAGTCCAAAAAGTTGAAACTGCCAGACGCGGATCGCAATTTCGATCTTTTTGGATCTCATCAGCGCGTCGCAGACAGCTCCGACAGAACACAGCCCAACTTTTACCTGCTGTCTTAACAGCGCGTTTTCGAAAATACCACAATACCGCTCTATTTGTGGTATTTTCTGTCTAAAGAACATTTTTATTTTGGTAGGTACTTATATGTAACCTCAAACTTTTGTACTATTTTAGAAAATTACGTTTATACGTTTAAAAAAGTAAAGTAAAGTTTGCAGAAAACGTCTTCACAAATATTATTTTTATTATTTTTTTCTTCTGCCGCAAAGAAAGAGACCCGCGGTTTGAAAATTACATATTCGGAATATCTGTTTTCGCAAAGAATAATAACCCCTCCAAATTGACTCTTTGTGCAGAGCGAAAAAATGTGCCAACGGCACTTGAAACCTAGAGTTTTCCCCCTTTTCGCTCAGAACAAATATTATTTTTTGTATTTCCATTAAAACTTTTATACGCTTCAAAAAGTAAAACGCGCATTCTTCCAGTGATCCCATCGAATAATACCAGGTGCCCTCGGGTATATTCTTAGAAACCAATACGAATTCCCATGTTTCTGGCCCGCATATTTTTGTTATAGGTAATAAAATTACAGACGTAAAATGTTATTGTTATGTTAAAAAGAAATTGTTGTTGTTGAATAAATGTTTTCATTCATCCAGTCACCTACATTCTAGACTAATAAATAGAAAATTTTCTATCATTACAAGCGCGTGTGATAATATCTAGTATTCAATTTATTATGCTGTAAAAACGTAGTAAAAACGTAATGAAACAGTTTGATATCCATATCAATAACCATGAAAAATTATGAGACCAAATTCAATTTTATTTGAGTCTGATTCTCGGTATCATGTACAGGGTTTTGGCATATATTCAATGCATTTAATTCCTATCATCGGAAATTAACTGTAGGACAAAATAATATGTAAGTATTAATAAATTGAAAACTACAAAATATTAGTTAAATATTCAGCTGAGATGATGTGTGTACATACGGGAGCTAATCAATACAGATGTACGTTTGACAGACCGTTTGATCATTGACCAAGTTTTTTCCTGTACACTTTTCGTTAATTGGATTCTTTGTGACAATTTGTTTTGAGTTGGTTGTCTTTTTTATTATAAAACCTTCTTAAATTTTGTGTATTAATGTCTTTATTTGTTCAGAACCTATTACTGAAGCTACATCGGTGCAATTATTGATTAAAAATAGACCAATAAAAGTTTGCGAATTTTTCTATCCAAATTTTTGCGTCAAATCGCATGAATTTCATCATTTTGATGTGTGCAAAAGACATTTGCTTTTGGTTCTGCATATATTTTCATATTCGCATTTTTATATCGGAAGCTCATTGAAACTTTCCAGAAATGGTGAGATTGAGTATCAACGCACTAATTGACCAAATTACCAGAAACCTGAAATTCTTATTTATTCAATCACTTACCTTTATTAAATTTTGAATATTAACTTAATAAAAAAAGAATTATCGATACAATTTACTATCGACATCTTTCTCTGCTTCTGTTGCATCATTGACACCCAAACAATAATTCCATTTTAAATGTATCAGTGCTACTTATTATTATTCCGCCTTAAGGTTGGCATCCTAATTTTACAGACACATTTCTACGTAAGAAAAACGTTTGCCATTCAATCCGTAAGTGCAGGTGTTGTAGATCGCAACGTGATGCCTAAGCTGATGTCCATCGTAACCCGACCTACCTAATTAAGCATTCAAAGTCCGGCATTCATCGTTAGGATTAAGCCTCGATCGTCACCGGTACCCTTTCCTCGGACGCCTAATTGAAATTGAACGTTATAAACTGGCCGATTTGATGAATGTGAAATCGATATCGCCTTCCTAATGCGTTATTAATGAATAAATAATAAATAATCCGTTGTGCGGCGATTTAATAATTAATTATAGTTGGCGCCTGTAAATTAACTAGAACCGATAGACGGGCATCCAAACGTCAAACTATGGGTAAATTATGCGAGTGACTTGTTTCGAGAACGGACGGCCACTCTTCTATTTTTTTTTGTTATGTATTCGTGTTTACCTATTTGTAATCCATAGGTGTGCATAATTTAATCTAGTTACGATCAAGAAAGTACTGAAAGTTATGACATTATATTTTATTAAGTATAAGGATAGTTTATAGATCCTCGAAGAGAAATTGCCGGAAAAAAGTGGATCTTACGTATAGGTACTTGCTCACCTTTAAGGTTTCACAATCCAAAGATAAAATAATATACTAAGACCGTTCATACAGTCACACTTACTTTAAAGCATTACACGAAGCCAAAGAATCGCCCCTATAACGATCCTACAAATTAATGATTTTCCATGGGGCTCGAAGAAAACTCCGTAAACATTACCATACCATACCATAGGAACAATTGAGTACCACGGCTCGCCTTGATCTGTGGAAAATATGTATAATAATTATAGGTGGCTTTCGGCATCCCTGGTCCCGTCCCCTTTCCCATCCCCTTCTCCGCATTGCATATTTTTGAATTGAAATTTGTTTTTTTTTAGTGTGCTCTACAGCATCATCAAACATTCATTTTTTTTATTCATTTAATAATAGTAACTACTAATTTAATAAACGAATTTTCTAGAACACCATTAATTTCCATATTTAAACACTGCTTTTTTAAAATGATAACCTTATGAATCCAGAGAATTTCAAAGAAATACAGACACTAGAATTACTGTAATTAGTATTTTCAACCAAATACAATTAGGTAAGTACAATCAGAAACATATCTATTAATTTGCATTCCCAATTTTAAAATTTTAGACAATTTCTGGCTGTTGTGCTAGAAATTCTCGACTTGAATTGAAAGTGCTCGGCACTCTTTTGGTAGGTCTTTATTCTAATATGCAAATCATACCGTAATTAATTGATTTTAAATTTTAACATCCTATCAGAATCTTCAATACTACTTATATACGTTTCACTCTGTTAATTTATTCTTAAATAAAAATAGAAGGAGAGGAGATGCAGTTACCCTAGACAAAAATTTTCAGTCTTTCTCCAGTCTCTCAGAGTCTTTCAGAGTCTCTCAGTTATTGCGTAGGTGTTTTTATGGATCTCTCACAGTCTCTGTATGAAAGACTCGAACGATAAAATTGTTAATTCAGAGATTCGAGTCTCTCACAGAGAGACTGAATGAATAAAACTGAAAAATTGAGAGTCTCGCGTCTCTCATAGAAAGACTGGGATCTCTGAAAGTTGTTGAACGTGGAAAATTTTAATCATGTCTATCGAGACACCACTTATTGAGAAATTCAAGTCTCTCGTTCAGAGATTCGAGTCTCTGGTTCAGAGACTGGATACAAAATGAGGATCTCTCTATGAGCCAGTTAAGTCTCTCGCTCAGAGACTCTAAACAGTTTTTTTGACAGTCTCTCGACAGTCTCAGCGACAACCTGAGAGACTCGATGAGAGACGGAGACTCGAGTCTCGCATTCAGAGCCTCTGAGAGACTGAAAATTTTTATCTCGGGTAATAGGACAGTGATGTACTATTACGTTTATATTTCATAACGTATGCACGTGCACGTAGGATACGTGTGCTCACATGTGTATATACCGGCATATGTATGTAATATATCTAAACTCGAGAAACGACGAGAGGATTTGAATGCGGTGAAGTTCCTCGCTAATAACTTATAATAAATACAGTTTAGTTGCAGTTGCTGTAGGAATTCCCGGGCAATTGCAGACCAGCTGACGATTCAACGTCGTTAATGCACGTACAATGTTGTTGCGAAGTTTCGTTCAAGTAGGTCCTTTTGGAATATCGTTCTAAGTGGCCCCAGAGAGCACAAACTGAATCATGACAACGTTTATATAAATACCTTGCCAAAGTAACTAAAATAGATTAGTATTGTATAAGATCAGAATGTCCTGTTACAATCATGCGATAGGGGACAAGAATTAAAGAAAGTCAAAAAGTATTTTGTATGCAACGTCGTTAAAGAAATCACCTCATTGTGCCACTCAGCAAGCGTCTTAAGTGAACACAAATGGATAAACACCCCAGGCAGCATGAGATCGTCAATTTTGAGTTTTAATTCAAAATTGCATAGTGCAAAGTTAATGTGATAATAGTTGGACACCTCACGCAAAATAATAATTTATCACCTCATACATCTAAATTCTCTTGTTCCCTAGAGAGATTTCTCGACGCGAATCCAAATCCAGGGTGCAGGATTTTGAGATATTCGAGTCCAAATGTCACCGATTACCGGGACTACTCTTTATACCAAACATTATTTCTACACTGTTGAAATTAGAAAAATATTTCTGCGTTAGAAAGACTTAACGTTCGAGTAAAGACTTAACGTTCGTACGCAACTTGAGAAAGTAATATAAAAGTAGTTGTGTTATAGACATAAAATTTCTACAGGTTCAGAAATATCCCATCACTGGGAAAACTTAATGGTCATTAAATATATGAAATCCTATGACATTGTTAGTTACTTAATTTTTAAGTAAACATTTTTTCGATATCTTATTTACCCATAATACACTATTAAGTAACTAACAATGTCATAGGATTTCATATATTTAATATATATATCACCTGAAACCGCCGACGAGGCGGCTACTCGTCGGGCGGCATCTGTAAAGTTCCGCTGACGTTCCACTTAAAACNGTAGGTCGGTTGGTCGTGGTTGCTGTTGTCACCTCTCGTAGTTTAGTGGTCAGAACATTGGTGCGTAAAGCCAAAGGTCCCGGGTTCGATTCCCGGCGAGGCTGTAACAACAGCAACAATTTTTCCCTCATTAATTTGAGGTAGTTTGTAGTGGGTAAATAAAAAATCGAAAAAATGATTTCAAATTAATATTTAAGGGTCATTGTTACTCACAACAAGGTGCTTATTGATTTATACTGAACTAAATAATATCATCACGACTTTTGAATACTTCTTGTTACGATAAATTCAAGGAAAGAATAAAATATCACAGGAATTCCTTTCCCATATTGCAGATTTAAAACTGTGTTAAGTACCTATTAAACGCCTTTACCTTTATGTCTAACAGTAAATGGCTGTCTAAGTGAAGACAGTAAATGTTTGCAAGACATAATTTATTTATCCATTAAATAGCGATTTATTTCATACATTCCAAGAGAAATGTATCCAATAACAGTTTATCTGAGAAGCCTAGACTTTTTACTGCTAGTGCATTACGTATTGAATGCTGTAGATTTTAAAATAAATTAAAGATCTTCGTGGATCGTCCTTAATTTTAATTTGAATTCATCGCTTCAGAAAAGAAATAATTTTATGGCGCAACCAGGCGTTAGACGATAGCCTACAATCCTTTATCATTCATCGGAAGAAATTTCTTAAAAAGAAGAAATAAAGAAAGATGTGCCAAATTAAAGGTAAAACCTTCTATCTCAAAGGTTGATGATAATTGCTTTAGTCGTTATAATTGAAATTAAGTCTTGTCAAAAAATCGTTCGTACTTTCTCTCGACTCAACTCAAATCGATTATGCGACGTGGGCAACAGCGATGACGATGGCATGGCAACTTCAAATCAATATTAACATTTCAGTTTGATTTATTACGGCAACTCCTTTTGGCCCGTTGAGATGCAAACGTAGACCTTATTTCACGATCAAATTATTGGAAACGAACGCAAATTGAATTGACTTTCAACGACAAGGTGATATATTGTCGCGGTAGAAACAAGACGTTCTGTAGGTAATGTTATTTGAATGTAGAATGTTCAGTGTAATTTTCCCCTACTTCATAATACATATAATTAAAGCTTTTACCAATAAATTTTAATGTACTAGGGAAATGAAGTATGCTTACCAAACATGTAAATCGATAAGCTTCAATTAGTTACAAATTTAATTTTCTAACTTATCGTTAGTATAATGCTTATGTATCCTAATATCTATACCATAGGTGGTACGTACACTTGTAATGAAGTGATCATCATATATCGTGATATTCTGAATATCTATGGTTCTGTTTGTAATGCAAATTGTAGCTATCTATCTCCTTGGTTAATAGCCCTTTCTGGAATTAGCTGACTATTAAGACATCTAATTAAGGGATGGAACTAATTAACGCAGGGTATTTAATTGGATTTTTAATTGAAAATTATCAATGTGTCGAGCAACTGTCAATATTCTGCCTTAGGGTCAAAAATATTAAATTGAATAGCAGTGGTCTTGAAGATTATACGAGGGTGGATTGATAAGTTTCCGGCCTGACCAAGAAAAACAAGGTTTTTAAAAATTTTTTTTTTTTATTTCTCAACATAATCTCCTCCAAGGCTGATACATTTCTCATAGCGGTGTTCCAGTCTATTAATGCCATCTCTATAGACTGATTCGTCAAGCTCCTCAAAATAACCATTTACAGCTTCGATTACTTCTTCATTGTCCGCAAATCTCTTACCGCCAAGCCATTTTTTGAGATTAGGGAACAGAAAATAGTCACTCGGGGCTAGGTCTGGAGAGTAAGGAGGGTGCGGCATCAATTCAAACTTTAGATCGTTGATTTTAGCCGTCGCAACGATTGACGTGTGCGCTGGTGCGTTATCGTGATGAAACAAGATTTTTTTCTTCGCCAGATGAGGTCGTTTAATTTTCACCTCGTGGCTCAAACGTTGCAATAAGTCTGCGTAGTATTGACCAGTGATAGTATTACCCTTTGCAAGGTAATCAATGTATATAATACCTCTTGCATCCCAAAAAACAGTAGCCATAACCTTGTTCGCCGAAAAAATTGTTTTTGCCTTCTTTGGAGTTGGTTCCCCTGGTCCAATCCACTGTTTAGACTGTTCTTTGGTTTCAGGAGTGTAGTGGTGGACCCACGTTTCGTCAACGGTTACGAATCGACGCAAAAATTCGCTTGGATTACGCTTATACAATGACAAATTTGCGGTAGAAATGTTTTTTCGAATCAATTTTTGGTCGACTGTTAGCAAACGCGGCACCCATCTTGCACAGAGCTTTTCCATATGCAAATGTTGGTGCAAAATATGTTGCACACGTTCATATGACATCTTACAGGTCTCAGCTATCTCACGCACTTTCAATCTGCGGTCTCCCAGCACTATTTGATGAATTTTTTCGATCATATCTGGAGTTGTGACCTCAACGGGGCGTCCTGAGCGAGGCCCATCAGAGGTGCTCACACGACCCTTTTTAAACTCGGAAACCCACTGCTTAACGGTTGAATATGACGGGGAGGATGTCCCCAGTGTTGAGTCCATCTCTTTTTTAATTTCCTTCGGCGTTAACCCCTTCAAATAAAAGTATTTGATGACAGCACGATTTTCCTGCTTTTCCATTTTTACGAAAACCACAGAGGCGTCTTGTTCAGCGTGCTGTCAAACCTACACTAGCAAGGAGATCGGGCTGAAACTATAGCTACAAGCTATCCAA